GAAAGACGTATACCCACTACCGCGTATTGACGATTCTCTTGACAGGCTGAGGCATGCACGCTTCTTCTCGTCGATGGACCTGAAAAGCGGTTATTGGCAAATTGAGGTCGATGAGCGGGACAGAGAAAAGACTGCTTTTGTTACGCCTGACGGGCTTTACGAGTTTAAAGTCTTGCCCTTCGGATTGTGCTCAGCCCCAGCAACATTTCAGAGACTGATGGATACCGTCCTATCAGGCCTTAAGTGGCAGACGTGTCTGGTATACCTCGACGACGTCATTGTTTTCTCACCAACATTCGAGGAACATCTAAGACGGCTGCTATTAGTATTTCGAGCAATACGGTCCGCTGGCTTATCGCTGAAACCTGAGAAATGTCATTTCGGTTTCAAGGAACTCCGATTCTTAGGACATGTGGTGAGCCATGAAGGTGTTCGTCCGGACCCCGACAAGATCGACGCCGTCCGAAAATTTCCGGTGCCAACAGAAAAGAAGGCCGTAAGACGTTTTCTTGGCCTTTGCGCCTACTACCGCAGATTTATCGCCAATTTCTCGCACATAGCGTCGCCCTTAACACGCATAACGAGAGACGATGTTCCATTTTTATGGGGCGAAGAGGAACAAGCAGCATTTGACGGTCTACGACAGCGCCTGCAGACACCCCCTGTGCTTGCTCACTTTGACGAGGACGCTCCAACCATGATCCACACTGATGCCAGCAACGTAGGTTTAGGCGCTGTACTCGTCCAGTGGCAAGACTCAGCCGAGAGAGTGATTGCATATGCAAGTAGGACGCTTTCCCGTGCCGAGTCCCATTATTCCACAACGGAAAAGGAATGTCTTGCTGTAGTATGGGCAGTTCTGAAGTTTCGCCCATACCTCTACGGCCGTCCCTTCCACGTAGTCAGCGACCACCACTCTCTTTGCTGGCTGACCAACTTGAAGGACCCATCCGGTCGGCTAGCGCGCTGGAGCTTACGCCTACAAGAATTCAATATGACGGTCGTCTATAAGTCGGGACGGCAGCACTCTGATGCTGATTGCTTATCCAGGTCGCCTATAAATCAAGATGATGTCTCAGAAGATGATGACATGGCATTTTTTAGGAGTTGTCGACACGGTCACCATTTCGTCTAAGCAGAAAGAAGACAGTGAGTTGCTCCCTCTTATTAATTTTCTTAACGGCCAGTCTACAAGCGTTCCCAAGATATTTGCAAGGAGCCTGCCATCATTCTGCTTGCGCAGTGGTGTCCTATATAAGAAGAACTTTGCCCCCAGCGGAAATGCCCACTTACTTGTCGTCCCGACATCTATTCGCGATGAGATCCTGAGCGCTTGCCACGATGAGCCAACCTCCGGCCACCTCGGATACACGCGCACATTGGCCAGAATCCAACAAAAGTACTACTGGCCGAAGCTTCCAGGCACTGTAAAGCATTACGTCCGCACGTGTCTCGATTGTCAACGACGAAAATCGCCACTTTTAAAACCAGCCGGATTGTTGCAACCAGTTCAAGTGCCCACCATGCCTTTTGCACAAATCGAAATGGATCTCCTTGGACCATTTCCGACTTCGCATACTGGAAATAAGTGGGTAATTGTCGCTACGGACTATCTTACTCGCTACGCAGAAACAAAGGCTTTATCAAGTGAAACCGCAGTAGAAGCGGCATGATTTTTCATTGAAAATATCGTTCTGAGGCATGCTGCTCCTAGAATTATAATAACAGACAGAGGTACCGCTTTCACGGCCATGCTCCTCAAGTCAGTGCTTGAGTTGAGTGGAACAGCGCATCGAAAAACTACCTCCTACCACCCACAAACCAACGGCTTAACAGAACGCCTCAACAAGACAATTGCTGATATGCTTAGTATGTACATCGACGTGGATCATAAAAATTGGGACGACGTTCTACCATACGTGACGTTTGCTTATAATACGGCGCAGCAGGAAACTACGCGGAGCACGCCATTTAGTCTTCTTTATGGCCGTGAAGTGACGACAATGCTTGATGCCATGCTGCTGCACGACTGCGAGGATACAGACAGGGATGTTCAAGCCTTTACCCAACGAGCTGAAGAGGCACGGCAGCTAGCACGCGTGCGAATCGCCCGACAGCAGAGTTATGACGCACAACGTTATAACCTGCGACACCGATACGTCACTTATCAACCAGGCGAGAAAGTGTGGGTCTGGAGCCCTATTCGCCGACGCGGCCTTTGTGAAAAGTTATTGAAGAAGTACTTTGGTCCCTACAATGTTATACGGCGCCTAAGTGACGTGAATTATGAGGTCATCCCTGACAGTTCCTCGCGATCTCAAAAATCTGAAATCGTACACGTTGTGCGGATGAAGCCATATTGCAGTGAGTCAGTTGCGTAATACGTCAACTACATACACCGCGTATTCTGTAGCCGAGCATCGGGTCGATGCTCTTCCTGGAGGGAGGCAAATGCCCCATTCAACCTGCAGAAGAGAGCTCGCACAGCCAGAGAAGAAGACGAAGCTCTTGCCCGGTCCTCTTTACGAGCGCCTTTCATTTTTAATTAAAGTGAGCTCTTCTACATCGAACTCCTGCTGTGTCTGCGTCGTGACAATATTGGGCCATATTACCAGACTGCCTGCATGATTCCGCTGTTTCTGAAAACAAACAAAAAATGGGCACTCAACAAAAAACACATGACAAAAGTTTCATTAAAGTAGTCTACTAAATTATTTGTGAAAAATAAAATTGGAATTATTAAAAATAAACACCTAAATATTTTTTTCATTATTTGTCCATCCGCTAAGCTTGTCACGCTTTAATCGTCACGTGGGCGTTGATGTTTATCGCAACATACTTCCGACCACTCTTCGTTGCGGCTTTCGCGACCTATTTAGATTGGCCTTGGCATGACGTCGTTACTTTACCATGTAGCCTTGTAACATACGGTTCTTATTTCCGTGAATAACACATGAAGCAATCAAAGCTTTGTCATGCATTCAAATAGGGCGAAACCAATCTTGGAAGTGGGCCAAATAAATGTTGAGATAATAAGTTTGGGGTTTAACTTCCGATATTTCGAGACGTTAGATCGCTACACTCTAAACTTTGAAAGGGGCCAAGTCCTTCTGAACGTGACTCAACTCGGTCTTCGAGAGAGAGATACATAAAGAGATGGTGGGAAGAAATGCAGGGAGATTAACCGGTTTTCAAATTCAACGAAGTCAATAATGCAGGTGGGCCAATTGAATTTCAGTGGTGGGTCAAGCCGTTCTAAACGTGGGTCGACACAGTTTTCGAATCGAAGGAAGTCGGTTTTGGTTAGGTTCAATTACAATGCGGTATTGCGTGAAGTCGCTATGAATGTGAGTTAACTACGTTTTCTAATTCGCTCAAGTCAATTTCATGGGTGGGCTAGTAAAATTTTCAAGTGGGTCAAGTCGTTCTGAACAAGAGTAAACTCAGTCTTCGAATCAAGCGAAGTCAATTAGGGGTACTACCACCACGGTGTTACGGTGCTCAGCTACCGACAGAAAAACACAAGTGTGATTCGACTCCAACAAGTCCGATTTTCAATACGTGTAATTAAACAAGTTTTAATAAAACACAATGAATGTAATAGATGTTTAACTTTTGTGAGCTCAGAGAGTATAAGCTGATGAAGACACTAATGACTATTCACCGATTTTAGTCTCATTAAAGTAAATGAAATCCAGTTAGCATAAAAACTAACTTAATTTTGCATTAGTACTTATTACGCGTTTCATCATAGCTAGGCTCATCTAGGTTAAACTTGGCTTAACGCAACAAAGCCATGCTGAGCCGAGAAAACCCAATTTTGTGTGCTTAGCTACATCAAGTTTTGGGAAGCTGGCTAGGCTTAGTTAAACTAATAAACCACTATAAATCATGACGCGAACCCGGCACTGGAACCGACGCCGTTGCAGCCGCTACGCAAAAAAAAAAAGAAAAGCAACTGCATAGATTTGCTGGAGCAAAGACAGCAACACCCAGTTGTTTTGGCTGCGAGCGCGTCGGAGAGAGCGACATGCGAGACCAACTGATACGACGGGACGCGCATGCGCACCGCAGCAGGTGTCTTGTGGCAGATAGCACATCAATTTCCATCGACCACGCGATCCCGTATCTACACACTTCTACTCACGTCTGTACTTCACCGAAAGCCGACCCGGAAAAAAGCATTGTGCAGCTTTAGTTTCACTTAAACGCACCACGTAGTCTTTCGCGACCTATTGTGCAAGGTGTGCTTGTCGTTCGATCTCGAATACAATAAAAAAAATCTGAGAGCAGTGTGCGCGTAACAAATATTCCAAACCTTCGCCAAAGTAACGATTAACATGTGCGTCAGTTACGTATATGCATGTCCTCTCAACAACTGAAGAGATTGTCTTCAATTGATTGATATGTGGGGTTTAACGTCCCAAAACCACCATATGATTATGAGAGACGCCGTAGTGGAGGGCTCCGGAAATTTCGACCACCTGGGGTTCTTTAACGTGCACCCAAATCTGAGCACACGGACCTACAACATTTCCGCCTCCATCGGAAATGCAGCCGCCGCAGCCGGGATTTGAACCCGCGACCAGCGGGTCAGCAGCCGAGTACCTTAGCAACTAGACCACCGCGGCGGGGCAGAGATTGTCTTCAATGCTAAGGCTTTTTTTTTTCGTACGTGCAATACCCCTTCACATGCAGCCCCACGGTAATGCATTATTATTGCATTAGTTTGGTTTGATCTCGGTTCTGTGCGTCCGTGCACGTCCTGTCACGCACTTTTTGATTTTCTTTCCACTATACACCTGTGCTATCGTAATACGTCGACAAAGAAGCGTTGCATCAAGGGTAATGCTAGACATGATTTGAGCAGTAAAAACTTCAAAGCTCACTGTACTCAAGGAACCCAGAGCATCAGGTGACGTTTCTTCTCAATGCTTTTGACTTCTTTGCTATTTAAAAATTGTCTCACATCACCCATAACCACATCGATAAAACACGCCTTTAAAAAAACTAACAGCTCACTGCCTGCATTCATTTATTACCGACATACATGTTGCCAAAGACAAAAAAATAAACTTTCCACACAAAAAAAAAGTTCACCGAGTGTCGTTCACAACAAGCACACACCGCTTCGGTAGTTTGCCTGGAAGGTGCGACACGTACATCAGGGCTGCCTACTGCTGCGGCGCCGGTGGTGGTAAACCCGGCTGCGAGGACGTGTACTTGCTGACTGCTTTGGTTCCCTCTGAGACAGCATGGCGGGCCAACTCACCGGGCAGCAGCAGCCGCGTCACGGTCTGGATCTCACGCGCAGTGATAGTGCTGCGGTGAGAACAGATGGAAAGCTTGGCTGCCTCTTCGCCGATACGGTCCAAGATGTCGGCCACGAAGCTGTTCATTATGGCCATTGCTTTGCCCGATATTCCAGTGTCAGGGTGAACTTGCTTGAGTACCTTGAAGATGTAAAGGCTGTAGCTCTCACGGCGGCGGCGACGGCGCTTCTTGGCACCGTCGATGGCACTCACTGTCGAACCAGCTCGTAAAACCGCAGTCTTGCCGCCCTTGGCCTGCGCCGCTTGCTGCTGCTTAGCTGCCGGTTCCATCTTTGTCGTCTTCGTCACCAGCTTAGATGGCAGAAGCGTCGCTAAGTCGAACACGTAGTTGCAGCTCCTCCGGTTGACGAACGTCGGAATGGCGGCCGCCGGTGGCTGCGCTCTTTTTATCACGATCGCTGCGGTACGTGTACCGTCGCGCGCGTCGCCACGCGCTATATCGGTCGCTTCCTATGATTTCATATTATGTTCGCACGGCGGAGCCACGTGACGATCACTGAATTGTTCGATGTGGATAGCTGTCAGGGAGGAAGTGCACTCAAAAGAACATCGCCGTGGTATATGGTGTCATTATTTACAGGTATTATGACTGGAAACCAACAAAACCTGTTGTAAATGCTTTTACAACAGTGCCGTTTTTTATTGCAAAGTGTGAATTGTTCTTATATAATAAAAATGCAATTTTTTTAACAGAATGCTGACCATAACAAAATGCCCTCGTCCCTTACCGCACGCTCTAGTGTTTTTTTAAGATTTACGCCCCTGCAGCAACCTAATGTACCTAAACGGAAAAAACGCATTTCATTGTGTCAGTATACGACACGGCGTTAGAAGGTGCGTTGTTTCGGGCGCGGAAGCTATCGGGGCACAACTGTTGTTGTTGAATGTGATACGGCTACCTCGAGAAAGTTCAAATGCAAGGTTCCCAAATACATATCCTTAAGGAACGTACATAAGGGTTAGTTACCTTAAACTTTACGAGAAACCTAGGTCAAATTCAGCGCAAGTTTTCCTTTATCAGGGAAAATTTTCTCTTACTGAGAGGATATACAAGACTGTATGCAACAACTATTTAAGGCACGTCATTGCATCTGCCATCTGCACAACGTTTAATTTCAGGAAATAGACGGATGATGCCCTCGTGAAATGAACTATTCTTTCACGGTAAAAAGAAGCAAAAACAAAGTGACACAGTAATTATTTACCGAATTTAAGTGGCTCGTTTGTGTATTGGCACCAAAGTGCACACCTGTTGTTGCCATGCGAAGCTCCATGATTGAAATGTGGGGTTTAACGTCCTAAAACCGATATATGATTATGAGAGATGCCGTAGTGGAGAGGGCTGCGAAAATTTCAGCCACCTGGGGTTCTTTCACGTGCACCCAAATCTGAGCACACAGGCCTACAGCATTTCCGCCTCCATCGAAAATGCAGCCGCCGCCGCAGGGATTCAAGCCCGCAACCTGCGGGTAAGCAGCCGAGTACCTCAGCCAATAGAGCACCGCGGCGGGGCAGGCACCTGCTCATCTAGACCATCGCCATTATATGGTGTAGAAGCTGGTCATCGTCTGCAACTCAGGATGTAGTAGAATACACCAAGCAGCCTCGTGTACGTACACAGCCACGCGACGAGTGGCGTACGTTATTTCCGGTACGCTCACTTTTCGTATCCTCAGATATGTGAGCACACCCACGTGTGCTGCGAACACGAGGAGCGGAAACTGCATGGCTAGTATGCCGACCAGGTGGCGCGAGCCCCTCGCACTGCAGCAGCAGAATGCCGTTCTTGGTTGAGGCGAAGGCGGTTACCAGTCGACTTCTCCGCAGACACGCCAACATCTATCGGCAGTAGACGAGCCAGTGCATACGCCTCCTAAAAATTCTCCCGCTTGGTTTTCCAGCGTGGCGTTGTTGCACGTTTTTCAGCGGGCGTTGTGACCGGCGAACGAGTTGCAGGGTAATACCCCAGTCACACGGCCACCATCGAACTCTGTTATATTTCGTCAACGTAAATTTTCCCTAGGGAGTTCGACGGAGATGGAGTTGTGACAGTGTCACACAGCAATGACAAGGCTGTACTAGTAGCCGTGAGGGGGCTCAGCCGGGGCTGTTTCATTTTCGCAGAGTATCCTAATTTCATTTCTAGTTGCTCTTTTGTGTGTGTTAACCTTCGTTACGCGGTTTTCAGGAAAACACAATATTAGGTAGGCCCGAAGCGAACAAAACATTGAAATTATTTCAAATGAAAACGCATTCGCTAAATGCAGCGATGCTGGAAGTGACGTTTGCCATCTTGTGCCTAATGCTATGTTTCTTTACGATTGCGCCGTGCACGATGACTAGTTGTTTTTGTAGCCCTTAAGCTACCCTTGAATTAGGTCTGGTTCCATTACCTAAACCTGCAGCTGTCAAAGAAGGTGATGATGATGCAGTGCTGTCAGTCATTCCTCTCATGTGCGAATGCAAACACGGTGATTAAAACAAGCACACGCGCGGTCGAAATATTTTTAAATGGCGGAACACGGCCCGACTCACGAAGCATCGTGTGAAGGGCGTCGGTGTGGCTGCACTAAAGTTTGGCGTATATATAAATGTGTAAAAAAACACATACTGCATGAGTACTGCAACAAAAGAACTTTTAATATTGCCAAAATGTACTATTGTTCTTATTGCAGACATTAAGAGCTCGAAATTTTTTTCTGACCTGCAGATACTCGGGACGAGAGTAACTCATCCCGTTGCAAAGGGAGATAGTCGAACGATCTTCGCGACATGCTCCGTTTACCTTCATTTGCGTAAGGGTTGCCGTGTGACATGGACCGCGTCTCTTTTGTCGTAAGGACGAGAAACTTTAATGGTGTTCTCGGGTGCCTGTGTGACAGGGGCATAACGCAACCTTCTTTCTCTTCGAGATTCTTTCCCGCCTTCTCCGTGAGCGTGTCCAGTAAAAAGGGAGTGTACCCTGGCGTGAATGAATTCCTGCAGGAAGCGCGGGTTTCGGAACTTCAAGTGTGTGTCCCACGGCACGCAGAGGCAAAGGTCGCACACCTACAACTTCATACAAGAACCGGATTGGTCCCTAGCTCGTAAAAATATATACCCCTTAAAGGGGAAGCTCTGTGGTCTACTAAGCACACGCCAATGAATGAAGGCATACCCCGTTCCGAACAATATGAGTAGGCAACGCACCATTGATGAACCATGAAACTTACTGAGAGATTCGGTGAAACTATGATCGAATGGACGATGGAGGTTTCCACTGTATGGTTTGGTATAGAAAAACTTTACTATAGGCTCATCGGGGCGTGAACTAGCACGTTTCAGGCTGCTCCCACGATGGGACAGATAGGCCTAACCAGACAGCCACGTCGTGGGACCGTTGGACTGCCCATAGCAGCATCCATAAATCCGTACTGCGTAGTGCAGCATCCCACTTTGACGCTGTAACGTTTTCAGCCTGTAACGCAGGGCACCGCCAGAGCATATGACCTAAGCTGGCAAAGTCTTAGAAATGTGCGCAAGTGTTTGAAGTCTGAATTTCAGGATAAATATTGTGCAAGAGTGCAAGACTGGGATATGCCCCGTCCTGAAGGAGTCTGAGCGTTAACGCCTGAGGCATGTTCAGTTTACTGGGCGGTGGCAAATACTTTCGCCTCCTCATATACAAGTTCTTGCAAAATTTATTGTACGTCGTTGAGGATCTTTGTTGTCTAGAACCTCATCCTCACGCCGTTCAGTAGCTACGTGGTTGATGACTCCTCACGCAGATCTGTGGGCCTTCTCGTTGAGGTTGGATGGAGCGCCCTCGATCTGTCCCATGTGAGCTGGCAACCAGATGATTGTGCCCCGACGCGGTGGTCTATTGGCTAAGGTACTCGGCTGCTGACCCGCAGGTCGCGGGTTCGAATCCCGGCTGCGGCGGCTGCATTTCTGATGGAGGCGGAGATGTTGTAGGCTCGTGTGCTCAGATTTGGGTGCACGTTAAAGAACCCCAGGTGGTCGAAATTTCCGGAGCCCTCCACTTCGTCGTCTCTTAAAATCATATGGTGGCTTTGGGACGTTAAAGCCCACATATCATATCAACCAGATGATTGTGTGTTGTTGTACCTCCTTATTTCACAGGATCCAAAAGGCTGATTCTGAGATGGTGCCCCAACCGAATGCCTGTACTGCTGATCTCGAGTCACTGTATATTGTTGTTCTCCCATCGTCTAGCGGAGCCACGTCTATTGCAACCTGTTCAGCAACCTCAGATGTTGTAGTCCAGATCGATGAGGATACTGTAGTAATGCCATCATGATCATCAGTGACTGCAATGAATGCTTTTTGGCTTAGGTACCGTGTAGCGTCAACGAAGCAGCACCTATGGCCACGTGCGTGGGCACTCTCCAGGAGGGCTTTAGCCCTAGCCTGTCGTCTGCCTACATTATATTCAGGGTGGACATTTAAAGGTATGAGCGCCACGGTAATGCGCTCTCTCTGTTCTCGAAGAGCGCTGCAGTAACTGGTATTGTTCTCTGTCGGGCGAACTCCAAGCTCCCTCAGGATGTTTCTACCGGCACTGGTGGTAGAAAGTTTCCACTGTGTCATTTAGTTATTTTGGTTTGCTCTCGGTTGTGTGCGTCTGTGCACGTTGTTACGAAGCGCGCCTCCGACGACGTTACGAAGGGCGCCACGAAATCTCACCGCTGCGACCACTGTTACGAAAGACGGCGGTGCCAACACGGTCCCGAAGGCGCCACTGCTCCGACATCCGCCGACACGGTCACCAGCCGTTCGGTAGCGTAGGTTTCTCAGCTCCCAACTGCCTCGCGCGGAGCTGATAGACGAGCGGACGAGACGACGGTGAGTTAAACAAGGTTTATGTACAGCATATATACAGAGGCGTTACAAATTCGGAACTGGGGCCGACAGCTTAGAGACCCGAAGAGCCGAGCTCTCCTCTCTAACAACACATAGGTCTCCTGCTCGCGACGCGCCACAGGGCTTTATTTTTATATATGCACCGGGTGGATTCTTTGAGTAACCAAATGTCCAACCAGAAGCGCTGCTGGTTGAGGTCAAAATCCTCCAATGGGGTTGCCGCTGGGCCGCGTCATTCTCATCAAATCCGGAGCCGCTGCACTACAGGTGGCTTACGCAAGGAGGAGTGATGTCGTCACGCATTGCGTAAGACTCGCCAGACAGGAAGGCACCTATTGCTGCAACGGGGTCGTTGTCTGAGGTGGCTCGCTGTGCGTCGCGTGACAGAGAGGCGCCGCCGAGTGATGACGCCTTTGAGTTGTACGCGTCAGGTGGGCTCACGTCCTGGCCTTGACACAGATTGCCTTTTTCAGAGGCAT